TTTGCCAGGGGTCACCTAAGACCATCGAAAATATGGATTGTGTTTTTTTATTCTTCTATTGCTGTGTGGGTGGGGGTCGCCGCAGAGTGGGGATTGTAAAAAGGGGTCACCGAGCTTAAAAGGTTGAGAACCACTGGTATAATACATTTTCATATAAAAATCTTATCAATAGTAATATTTGTTATTGTAAAAAAAAATATTGGAAGATGGGGCCTCGCAAGCATCATTAAATAGGGCACCGTAATTTGTAAGGCTGGCCTTGCTCCCCGATTCTCCATCAAGTACCCACATTTTGAAATAGGTATTCCGCTCTCTTTCTCTAGTATGATCTATTTATGATCTATTTCTTTCTAAATCTTTCTTTCTAAATCTTTCTTTCTAAATCTTTCTTTCTAAATCTTTCTTTCTAAATCTATTTTTCGAAATCTTTCCTTCTTCTAAATCTTTCTTTCGAAATCTTTCTTTCGAAATCTTTCTTTCTAAATATTTTTTTTCCTAAATCTTTCTTTCGAAATCATTCCTTCTAAATCTTTCCTATTAAAGCTTTCTTTCTAAATCTTTCTTTTCTGTTTCTCTCCTTTATATTCTCTTGTCTCTTTGTTTATCTTGTCCTTACTTTCTTACAATCCATTACAAATTTCTTACTTTATCAATAAGTGTAGATCTAGTTGACAGTCTAGAACAGTGATGCCCAGCCTGATTCAAGGGCCCTGTCAATTTCCGACACTCGAGTCCCGAGCAACATCGCCAAAAAGAAAAAAAAAAGAAAATAAACAATTAACACATATAATTAGAAACCTGTGAAACTAAAAGCTACAATAATTAAAGAAAAGTTTATCCGAAACCAACTTCTTCTTTCTTACTGGGTAGTTGGTGCTTTAGGGCTAGTTCGTCAGTAAGTCGGATCAGAGTCCTTTGCTTTTTTTTTTTGTTGTTTTTCCTATTTCTCTGTGTTAGTAATTTATTTGGATGATCGTCCTCCAACCTTTTGTATCTCTCAATAGCTTCTAATGCTGCTCTGTTGCGCCTTAACTTTAGAGGTTCAATATGGAGTCTATTTCACAGGCTGCTGTGGGTGTAGTTCTCATACCTCCACTAATTAGCCGCAAGGCTTGGTTTTGGATTGTGTCTAATGATGATTGATAGGTTTTGTTGGCAGCTATTTGTATGGAGAGACAGTTATCCATTACAGATCTGACGTATCCAGTGTGTCGAAAGGTTTTTTCTTTTCAGCTCCCCAGGATGTTCCTGCTAGGTGTTTTATTATGTTTAATCTCTGTGATGCCTTTTCTTTTAAATCTGCCCTAAAGTGTTTTAGAGACAGTCTTTGGTCTAGTTTTACACCAAGATATGGTGGAGTTTCTTCTTTATTTATTGGCTGAGAGTCTATTTTTAGGATGTAGTTTCTTTTTGCTGTTTTGTTGCTGTGGCTAAAGATTCTGGCTACATAAATGAGACAGCAAGTTAGAGCAGCCTTTGTGATGGTGGAAACTTATTTTAGTCTTTCCCAGTGGCGGTCTATTGTATGTTTATAAACTCTACTAACTTCTCTATGATTTCAAAGTTGCTGTTTGTGCTGTGGATAAATACCAAGAGTTGGATCAGTAGAAGATATGTCGTTGGACTCGTTAGCGGCAATAGAAACCATTTCCAAATCTGCTGCCCCTTTCTCTTCGTTTTGAATGGAGATTTTAGACAATGTCCTACACTCGTCTTGTTATAGTCTCGTGCTTCTACTGCTTTCTTTCTGTACATGACTCACTGCAAGCAAGCACTTTTTTTTTACCCATTCGAAGTCTGAAAATGACTTCGTTTCTGTGCTGATAACATGAGCAGCTCTGTAGCTAGTCTTACAGCAGACTTATTTCTTGTCTCATCTATACGCCGTATTGGTTTTTGTGTTATAATGTTGGTTGTTATGTGCTTTAAAAAGAACTCTACATTTCCTGTATCAGTACCACAACCACAATCCATCAAAGAAATAGTGAGAGCCCTAAGGAAGGGAAAGAGTTTTTTCTTTTTTTCTTTTGTGGGCACGTGATTTTCTACACTTTAGGCCGATGTTTCGTAGGGCCGGATGGAACCACATTGTGGGCCGGATCTGGCCCGAGGGCCTTATTTTGGGCATCACTGGTCTAGAAGAATGATTCAGATAAAATTGTGCTTAGATTTGAAATCAAAGAAAGACAACCAAAATTTTTTTATTGGATAGGTTCCCAGTAGTGGAGATTTTCACTTGTGGCTGAAAAACTATAAATTGCAAGCGTTATGGTGTATCCGGTGTACAAAATAAGAGGAGTGCTGATAAGCAAAAGGTGTATGATAAGGTCTGTGCACTTTTGGCACTGCACAAGTTTTATTTTCTAAGTTCTTCCGTTTAAAGCGCAGAACAATGTCAAAATGACATAAGCATTATTTTCCACTCGGTGGGTGAGAGGTGAGGCGCGGTGGGTGAGAGGAAAGGTAAGGAAACCCTGGCTCGAAACCTGGTGAAGACGGAGATTTTAAATTTCGGAATCATTGGGCGCCTCCGAGTCCATTCAGTTCTAATCGGCACCTGACATTAGTTGGGGGAAAGTAAAGGCAGTTGGTCGTTGTGCTGGCCACATGACATCCTCGTTAACCGTCGGCCACCGAAACATGTGACCTAATCATCATCTGCCCCAAAGATCTCAAGGTCTGAAAGGAGACTTTCCATTCTAAAACAAAATTTAATTAAAAATAAATGAGCAACTAACCATCGGTAATATAGGAGAAGTGATACGTAGATACACTACCACGCAATGACAAAGACAAAAAAATACACACTAGAAAAAAAAATGATACATACATATATTAGACATAAATGGATACCAGCACCAGGGACCATGTTTTTAAGAGAGAAACTAGTGAATTAAAATGCTACGACTCTGGATTCGACACCACCGCCTAGCGATATTGCACCAAGCGAACTTAACCTCTAGACCATCGGAATGTCGAATCCAGAGTCACGGGTTCGAGCCTCGGTCGGCGCATTCCCCTATTTTCGTAGCAAATTAAACTCACTAATTTCTCTCTTAAATTCTCTCTTCTCTCCCTGGTGCTGCTATCCATTTATGTCTAATATATGTATGTATCATATTTGTTTCAGCACCTAGCTTTAACTCCATGTTTAGAAAAAAAAATCCTACGTAAAAGAAGGGGGACCTTCTTTAGTCGCGAAGCCTGGGCACTAGCTGTGGTCAGAATGATATCGCACATACATCCCCTCACAAAAAAAACAGCTGATCTAGCCAAAGGAATGGCAATGTTAAGGTCAGCTGCGTCGCAGGTTTTTTTCCACGATGTTGCACTCTGTGCTGCAAACTGGGTCAAGGTCGCAGGCTCTAAATTTTTCAGCATGGATAGCTACAAAACTTTTTCTAATATTTTGGTATGGCTGCAAAGCAGCAGAAGTTTGAATTCAGAGTTTTTCATCTCCTTGTTGGGTAGCCTTTTCAAAACGATTACATCAGTTATAGCACTTAAGTTACGCCAGGGGAGGCGCGGTAGCTTAGCGGTAAAGCGCTTGACTTACGAACCGGGGGGGGGGGGGGGGGGAGCCGGGTTCGAATCCTGGTGAAGACTGGGATTTTAAACTTCGGAATCTTAGGGCGCCTCTGAGTCCACCCAGCTCTAATGGGTACCTGACATTAGTTGGGGAAAAGTAAAGGCGGTTGGTCATTGTGCTGGCTAAATGACACCCTCGTTAACCGTAGGTCACAGAAACAGATGAATTTTACATCATCTGCCCTATAGACCACAAGGTCTATAAGGGTAACTAGTTAGGCCAGGTTCACATCTAACTTTGAATTCACTTGCACCTATCCTTTGATCTGCTGGACCTTTGGGGCACTACACAAGATTTCTCAACCTTCTTTCTCCGTTCTTATTTCTCATTTGTCTTTGATATAATTTCATTCGGATGTTCTTTCTGAAAATATTGAAGCCTGCCTGGATGGACCACTTCGGGGGCCGATTTTGAGTTTGTGTTTCCACACAAACTGTCTTTGTAACCTTGTTAACTGTCGTGTTTATGTATACATGTTATCATAGCGACATAACCATGTATTACGTTTTATTGAGACAGCTATGGAAATTAAAATTAAATTTACAAAGAAGTGGAAAAAAAAGCGGTTGGTCGTTGTATTGGCTAAATAATGACCTGTGTAACCATGTTCCGCTAAAGACTTTACACCATCTTTGAAATATATCGTATGGAAGGGGTGAATAACTTTTATACAAGTCTAGTGCATTGTTGCGCGACTGTCGAATTGTAAGCCTCTTTATTACCATGCAGCAATAATTCTTTTGCAGCACTTCTATGGATATCTGATATAAGTTTGTTTAAAATTTGGTTTCACTTTTATTAATATTAGAATGGAAAAGAGAAAGAAATTTTAAGGCTCGATTAGCTCTCCAGCTTATTGAAAAAATAATGTTTTTATATAATGTATAAATTATTGTTATTATTATAAGAATTTTCGTTACCGATGCCTTCATACTAAGCCTTTTTCCCTAGCACTATTAGAGCATGGAATGGGTTGCAAGAGCTAGCAAGGAAAACCAGTGACTTGGCAGAATTTAGGTCATTGGTTAACAAGCATGATTAAATGCATGAAGCGTAGAGCCGTAGAATATTGTAATCTTCTTTTTTGAAGTAACATCTGTATCATATAAGATAAGATAACTGTTGTGTTTATGTGGTTGTTGTTGTGCTGGCCACATGATATCCTGTTATACCGCTTTTAAATAGCTTCATGTCTCGCGGTCACTATTAAGTTTTAATGCTTAACGTTAATTTATGGTTTAAATGTTTCACCCCTTTTAAATTGTTAAAATGGTATAGCATATAGGTCTAGGAAGTTACTCTGATACAAACGGTACACACATACAGATAATTGTAGTCGTTACGTTCTTGCCTAGATTTACTAATCAAAACGTTATTTGAAAAAATAACAACATGTCAGTTTTATTTTATTATTGTTTAATTTTATTATTGTTTTATTTCATTATTGTTTTATTTCATTATTGTTTTAGTTTCAGTTTTACAGACACCTTACAAAAATAGTTTTTTTTTTTTTTTGTTACATTGAACAACTATAACTTAATCAAACAGACAAACTCTAGTAATTTTCTAATAATTCAATACCAATGTGATAGACATCTTATATATAACACAGAAGATAACAAGACAATGTGATAAAAATTATAAAGTGGTCACATAAACAATCTACGATGAGTTAATTATAATAAACATCTTACCCAATATACTATTGGATATAGACAGATGTAGGCTTTAACTTATAGGACCAACCAGCAGAGATGTCTGCAAGCCAGACATGAGAACTACAGGTATCAGTGAAAGTATGTAGGAGGAAATAGGTCAAGATCTTACAGCATTGAGACAGATTGCGTGCAGAAACGATCTACGCCGACATGTATAATATTATATATACAATTTGTAGACAGTGCCAAATTTACAAAAGAGGTATGGTTTCATCCCTTAGCTTAGCAGGGGATCTCAAACTGATACTTTTGCACTTAAATGGCTTCTTCGATGCTAAATCATTGATTTAACAAAATTGTACGTGTCCTTGACATCTCTTGAATCAGAGCAGATCTTTACTAAATGTCTACCTGTAATTACAAAGTTTATATCAACCCATCCTGTCTGTCTATCTGTCTGTCTATGTTTTTCTCCCACTTCCCAATTTCGGATCAAGTTGAAACTTTTTACTATTATTCATGTTCAATTACAAAACATGAATCAATAAAAATTAAGCAATTAATTAATTTATGATGATGAATTAATTTTATACAGGTAGGTGTGTTAATAATCAAGTATGGTGAAAAATATCTGTGTATGTGTAATTATTTTACTTACAGAAGCTTAGTTTAGTTACAATTTTTTAAAAATATTTTACTTTTTATTATCATAAACATAAACACACATAGCACATACCACGTGTGTAAATGAATAGTTTAATTTTGATTATTCACTAGTTGCTCGTTGATTGTAAACTCTTTTGTTTTTATTTTCATTAATTTGATTTAAAAAAGGGTTTGTAATTCATTCGCGAAACACTTAACACAACATAACATTTGTTATTTCCCCTTTCAATTTATACAGCATTTTAGAACAATGATAAAAAGTACTAAGTATACATCCAGTTATAAAACATATATTACAGTAACTAGTACAAGTATATATATAGTAACAGTACAGCAAGTAGAGAGTATTGCTGAAAAAGAACAAAAAGTCCCCACTCCCCTTTCCAAAAAAAAAAAAAAAAGACAGAGAACCAAAAAAAAAAAAAAAAAAAGAGGCTTAGAAAACCCACAAAAGAGGCGGCAGCCCAAAGATTCCAATGATATAGACATCCTGAAAAAAAAAGTATAAATGCACAAACTAGTATTTATTTAACAAACAATAAATTAACAAACAGCAATAAAACTAGGTGTTACATAATGTAAATACTGGGATTCCTAGTATGTTTTAAATACCAAACTGAATGAAAACATTACTATCATAATATGTAAGTTTGTATAATTTCTTCAGTTGCACAGGTCACTTAACAACAAAATATGACCTATACGTGTGTTAGTTTGGGTCTACATTACTGATTCTGTGGAATTAATCTCCTGCTTTCCAAAGTTGTCGAAACGATTTCAATAACTTCCATATCAGAACTGGGTGCTGGGGTAGAAGGTAAGAAAAAATAATTGATAATTTTATATAGTAAAAACCGTTTCAAAATTTTTTAATCAATCAAACATATTATTAGGCTTCTAATCAACACTTAATTATATATCTTTAAATAGTAACATCATTTAATGCATGACATTGCACAGCTTACGAGAGTTTAATGACCACGCAATAACAAATATAAACAGCAATCAGAATGCAAATGACACTCATGTCTACAGTAGCGAGGTCCTGCTTCTGAATTTTTTATTACAATACCATTACTATTAATCAGATCCTTATATCAACATTTAGTATACAGCATGAGACGCAACTTAAACGCGATAGGCACCAGTAAAATAAAACAAGTTGCTAACAAAATGACACTATATTTAAAAGCTCTAAAGAAAGAGTCCATAAAAAGTATCTTAAATTTAAACACCTAACCCAAAAATGTAATCATACAACTGAAGAGCGAATGAGTCCAAATTAAAATCTAAGGATAGCAATAGAAATCAATGGTCATACATCAAATCTTAGAAATGGAAAATTGAATAGTAGCCCCATGGAAAGTATAATATAACTTCATACATAGTGATAATGAGTCTAGAGTAAAAATTATAAAATAAAACCTTGCAACAACCTTCTCAGCCATAAGAGACTAAAACATATCTAAACCAAGTCGAAAACATGGAAGATAATAGATTTACAAGAAGACAGGATCCAAAAACATTTCGCCAACATAAAAACAAAGCATCGGGACATTCACCAATGAGCAACGAGCTAGCACAAGTATGCTGAAATGTTTTTCGGACCTCTCTTAATCCAGTAGTTCCCAACCTTTTTCAATAACGGAAAACTTCGCATATTTGGTGTATTTAGTAATGTTTTTTTTTTTTTTCATTCTTTTTCTTATAATTAAAAAAAAATTAAACTATATTTTAAATTGAGTATTTTTTATTTAAAAAGTATATATTTATTATATTTATGTTAAAAAGTTTGTCTACTTTGGGAAGTATCATAAATGACAAACTAGACGAAGAGGTAGACAGTAAAAGCTCACAGTGCTGTAGTCCTCCCTTCATTGTTATATGACTCAGAGTCCTGGACCTTATAGTCACGTCACATCAATAAGCAAATTCCTCGTCCCATATGCTAGGACAAATTTGTACAAGTGCTCCTTCTTCCCTAGTGCTATTAGAGCATGGAATGGGTTGCCTGAGCCAGCCAGAATTTAAGTCATTGGTTAATATGCATGACTGAATGCATGACGCGTAGGACGTAATCATCTTTTTTGAAGTAACGTCTGTATAATATAATATAAGATAAGAAGAAGATAAGCTAAACTCCTCTCGCCTATATATATACATATCTATGGTTTAATGACTTTTATGGTAAGATATCCTGGAAGAGCATAACTCTTTGACATCATACATTATACCAGCAATTCTAGCATCTGATGAGGCGCCAAGTCTTTTTGTAGACTTTGACTTTCTTGCAGCATAAAAAGAAAACCCAGTTACACACAAATAGGACCCTAAGCAGTAGAGCCCTAGGAACAAGTAAAAATCAACGAGCAGCTTGTTTTCAAATATTGTGATACTCATCAGACAGACTCAACCACAAGTCATTTAGTGGTTGATCTTTGTATTTTTCTTTTAATTTAGAGTAAGGATCTAGATCAGTTCATAGTTAACAGTGATTTAAAGATATTTATTTTGTTACCAAGAAGAACTAATAAAAATCTTGGTTTTTTCTTCATTTACTTTTAGATAAGTTCACGTGTTATTCCAGTGGTTCGAGGAACACCTAGTCAGGTTTCCAGATCACTAGAGGGTTTAGCATAACAACGGTTGGGAAACAGTGCCTTAATCTAAGTAGAGCAACGAGGAACTGGAAAGAAGCTAATGTCACTCTCCTATTTAGAAAAGGAGAAAAATGTTATCCAGGAAACTACAGACCAGTAGCAGTCACCAGTACTATGTGTAAATACCAAAACACATAATTTGTAACAAGTTATCAACATTGATAATCATGTCATTAAACTAAATAGGCATTCTCCACAATAACATGGATGTAGGAAATTTAGGTCAAGTGAAGCTCAACTAATCGGTTTAAATGATGACTTTTCAAAGGACACAGATATTATTGAGCAAATCATGACTTTACTCGGGCAAAGCTCACCACCATAGTTTTTACTATTGTTTCTAGTCTACATAACAGACACATTCCCCCCCCCCCCCCCGCGTCGTACTACAACTTTGTTATGCAGGTCGCAACTGTGTTTGTATAGTCATGTTAAACAATGCACTCCTCCTAAATCTTTGGAATCGAAGCCATTGCAATTACTGTTATTTATATAAATAAATAAAAAATCATGTAATACCCACATTTACAAGATTATTTAAATTAAAAAAAGTATAAGGGTTAATTAAAACAATTTTTTTAAAGAAAAATTAAACAAGAAAATAAACCCCCACATTTACATGATTATTTAAATTAAAAAAAGTATAAGGTTTATTTAAAACAATATTTCTAATGAAAAATTATACAAGAAAATAAAACTAAATACAAATAAGCCTTGGTTCGACTTGTATCAGAATATCCGTCATCTGTTTGGGATCTCATAATAATGAAACAAATTAAGAAATAAATATTCATATTTGTTTCTAGCCACCTCACTAAATTTAGAGACACTTCAGGACAGGAGAATTATAAGTAAAGTAGCTATAGTACATGAAACACTAAGCCATAATTAACAAATGCAAAAACACAAGCTAATTAAATACTCAGAAAGACACAAAAATAAATTCACATTTATTTTTCCGAATTCTAGGACAAACTTATACAATGCTCCTGGTGACATTACATCATTAAGCAGGTTGCCTGAATTAGCCAGGAAAACCAAAGAGTTAAGTCTTTAATTAGTATGTACTAGATGAATACGCGTTGGATTTAATGTCTTGTCTTTTGAAGGAAAGTCTCTACATTAGAAGATATACCAATACAAAAACAAAATTTAATAAAATACTCAGAAAGACACCAAGATATAGGCACATTCCTCATCCCATATGCTAGGACAAATTTATACAAATACTCCTTCTTCCCTAGTGCTATTAGAGCATGGAATGGGTTGCCTGAGCTAGCCAGAAAAACCAGTGACTTGGCAGAATTTAAGTCATTGGTTAATATGCATGACTGAATGCATGACGCGTAGGACGTAATCATCTTCTTTTCTGAAGTAACGTCTGTATTATATGAGATGAGATAAGATATAATAACATTTAGATTAGAGGAAGTATTTTAGTACAGTTTGTTATATATCCTATATTTAAAAGGCCTAAGAGGCTCAGAGACAAGTCCATTCTAATTAATTAGGGAAAACAAAAATACCATTTGATGTAGTGGATCTCAAAATGGTGCCAATAGAACGAGCAGATGTTGCAGACGAACCTGCACTCCTGGCCTAGACAGACAGATGTCATATTGTCTTTCATCGGAACACTGAACACCTGAAAATGGAGTCAGACTATTTGAATCTTCTGAAGTCATCACTATGACCATTATCTTAGAATTGTGTAATATTGTAGTTTGACCTAATGGATATAATAACATTTAGATTATAGGAAGCATTTTAGTACAGTTTGTTATATATCCTATATTTAAAAGGCCTAAGAGGCTCAGAGACAAGTCCATTCTAATTAATTAGGGAAAACAAAAATACCATTTGATGTAGTGGATCTCAAAATGGCGCCAATAGAACGAGTAGATGTTGCAGACGAACGTAAGTCTATATAGCTTTCTTCAGCTGTCTCCTGCACTCCTGGCCTAGACAGACAGATGTCATATTGTCTTTCATCGGAACACTGAACACCTGAAAATGGAGTCAGACTATTTGAATCTTCTGAAGTCATCACTATGACCATTATCTTAGAATTGTGTAATATTGTAGTTTGACCTAATGGTGTTAGGTAAAATTTTGTTACGTCATATCCGGACTAAATAAGCTATAAATTGGACTGGAAAGGGAAACAAACTTTGAGAAATTAACTAGTCTTTTGTTAGCATTAAAATTATTTAATATTTAATGTTAACATTTAAGAAAATTATAGCCAAATGTTAATGAATTAATAAAAATATATTAGTTTAATTAAAAGATTATATATATATCCCCCCCCCCCCCCCAAAACCAAAAAAGTTTTTTTTTTAAGAATCGGCTGAAAAAATCGGGAATTTCATGTTAGCTATAAATACGTACAAGATCCTCTTTAATGTTAGACGCGACAAAAAAAAATATTACTGACCTATTTATTTTGCATATAATTACACGTTGAATTTTAAAGTGTATGTTGAAATACATTTAATGAATTTTAAAGTGTATGTTGAAATACATTTAATGTAAAACTAGAATCGAATTAGGGGTCAACATATTTTCGCCAATGGAAACATAGCAAGCTGTTCAACAGAAACAACATCTCGACATTTGATTCTTGCAGTCTAAAATAAGGCGATCAATTTTGTCGGATTAAAAACTAGGCAGTTATTTGAGATCGCAACCCCACTAGTCTACATTTGCTTACAGTCTCTACAATTTAGCATCTTGTTCTCATTTACTTTATTAAAAATGTTAAAT